CGGAGGTCGTCAGTCAGGGCAACCAGCACCGTCTCCGTCCCGTGGCCTGGGCAAAAGCCAGACTGGAATGGACCAAGGACAACCTTGCCTTCAATCCCCGTGAGGAAGACGGACTATAAACAATGTAAATAAGTAAAAATAAAAAAATAAGATGTGATCCCAAATAATCCAGTTCCTCCATTGGATGCTCCAAAATTATTATCTGGTTTGCAGTTAAAAATCCTTTTTCCTGCTGTCTGGAGCAAAGCAGCTTGAAGAAGAACCTGGCGACCCCCCAACCCCAGGGTGCTCCAGGGAAGAGATGAGCAGAGGCGGCTTGCCATTGGCCTTCCTCCCCGTAGCAACCCCAGTCTTCCTCAGTGGTCTCCCATTCACAGGGCTTTCTTTGTGGAAAAAGCCCAGCAGGAACTCATTAGCATAATAGGCCATACACAACAGCAGAAACTCATTAGCATAGTAGGCCACACCCTGACAGCACAGCACATTAGCATATTAGGCCACACCCCCATGTCACCAGAAGTGTGGTCATCCAGCCACACCCACCTTTCCCTTCTTATTCTGTTTACCTTGTTTGTTGTCAAAACCCAGGGCCTTTTTTTTTGTAGCAGGAACTCCTTTGCATGTTAGGCCACACACCCCTAATGTAGCCAATCCGAATGAGTTCCTGCTGTTGGGTGTGGCCTATTATGCTAACGGGTTCCTGCTGGGCGTGGCCAACTCAGGAGCCAGCCGGAACTCCGTTCCTGTGCGTTCCTGCCCCGAAATAGCCCTGCCCACCCAAGTCCAGACTGTGGCTGACCCTGCTTAGCTCCCCTGGTCTGACAAGCCTGGGCTGAGCTGGGCTGTTTGGGCTGCTCAGCTAGCAGTTCGGGGAGCACGGTTTTGAATCTGCAGGAAAAAAAGAGACTTCAGGTTTCCCATTTAATATTTTTCATTAAAGTAAAAAAAAAATGCAAGGGGAAGGATCAGTCAAGTCAGTCGCACACCACATTCTCATTTGGTCCTTCCTTGGCAGGCATTGGGTTACCAAGTTGTTGTTGTTCAGTTGCACAGTCAAGTCCGGCTCTTCGCGACCCCATGGACCAGATCTCGCCAGGCCCTCCTGTCTTCCGCCGTCCTCTGAAGTTGGCTCAATCTCATGTTCGTTGCATCTATGACACTGTCTAATAAGTGTGGGGTACAACTCACTACTGATTTGTAAAGGGGCTCTTTCGTGTTCCTTTTCCACAGGTGTCTCTTTGCAGTCAGCTGATCGATCTCGCTTTAGAAGGGCTGTCGTATTACCATACCTATGACAGGCTCTTCCTTGGCATAAGCGTTGCCCTGAGTTTTGTGGGCTGGACATCTTATGTGATTCTGGTGATTATCAAGGCACAGGCCGGTTTGATCCGCGGTACCCCGAGTAAGGTAAGCTAAAAATGTGTTTCCCTTTTTGCTTGCTTAGACCAAACTGTGTTGTGCAGTCAAATCTATTGCTGTGTCTGATATCTTGGTAGGGCTTGTACAAGTGACGTCCCAGTGCTAGTTCAACCTGCATGGCAGGATTTAAGTTGGTAGAGAGTTTATCTGCTGTTGTTGTTGTTCAGTCGCACAGTCGAGTCCGACTCTTCGCGACCCCATGGACCAGGTCACGCCAGGCCCTCCTGTCTTCTGCCGTCCTCTGAAGTTGGCTCAATTTCATGTTCGTTGCATCGATGACACTGTCTAACCATCTCATGCTTTGCCGCCCCCGTCTTCTTTGACCTTCAATCTTTCCCAGTATCAGGGTCTTCTCCAGGGAGTGCTCCCTTCTCATTGGGTGGCCAAAGTATTTGAGCTTCAGTTTCATTATCTGGCCTTCCAGGGAACAGTCAGGGTTGATTTCTTTTAGGATTGACTGATTTGATCTTCTTGCAGTCCAAGGGACTCTCAAGAGTCTTCTCCAGCACCATAGTTCAAAAGAATCTATTCTTCGGCGCTCGGCCTTCCTTATAGTCCAACTCTCGCAGCCATACATGACTACTGAAAGACTATTGAAAGAGGTAGTCAATCTTTAAAGGTACAATTGTGGTCTTAGGGTACTGTCTCAGTGATGATCTGGTTCTTATAGATCCACATGGGTCAATGCAGGGGTAATTCATGAGGACAACCAGATGGATTTCACCTAGAGAACTGGTGTTGAGTAGTGATGGGCATGAACTGGGAAAATGTGGTATGGTTCATGGTATGCCAGCTTCATGAACCATGAAACATCACAAATAAACCAGTTTCATTTGTGAGGTTTGTGACATGGTAGAACACCCCTCAGCAGTACTTTGTTGCAAAAGGTTAAGAGGAAAAGGCCTTCTTCCTCAAACTTCATTAGAATAGCTGATGTGGTAAAAGTAAGTCAGCATACTGCGGGGGAGAGGGTTTGCCTGTCAGCTCCCGGAGCCCGAAGTGCCACAGTGCACAGTTCCGACCCCCTGCCCATCTCAGAGGCAGATTAAAAAGCCTGCATTGATGTCAAGCATCGTGCCGACCAAGCTGGTGGCTCTAGTCTTGCCCCAAGAAGGCTTGGCCGTGGAATGTGTCAGGGAGGCCCCAGGTAGAAGAAGCCTTAGTTTTGACTATGGAGCAATCTTGGTGACTCCTGTACTTAAGAGCAGGCATATCAGTCACTCAGACAGGCAGTGATACAGATCCGGGTGGGTTTAGCCATGCGGGTCTGAAGCTGCAGAACAAAGCTGGAGCCTGGTGTTAGTTTTAAGACCAACAAAGTTTTATTCTAGGCCAGGGTCATTTCCTGCAGGCAATAAAGCACGCAGGGGGCGGGGACATGCAACAAGCCTCGCCCCCTGCTCCCAGCAGCCCTCAGTCAGAGCAAGAAGCAGCCAGGGAAGTTGCAGAGGCCCCCGCGTCCCCCCGGTACAAAACAGTCCAGTGGCACCTTTAAGACCAAGTTTTATTCAGGTGCAAGCTCTCCCTCCTCTGTGAGGACAGTTCTGCACGTTCCCCCCATCCCCAATAGCTAG